ATTTTGAGGGCGCAGAAAGAGCCGTGTCACTAGGGGTGTGCAATATGATAGCATCTACGTCATTGTTGCTTTAATGATGTGCAAACTGACATTATTTAGTGTAGTATTATTTAGTCACTCAATAACTTGAACAAAAACACGTCTTGAGAGTCAAAAAGCATTCACTGAGTGATGAAGTCTATTAGAATGTAGTTAGAATGCTCATATAATCCAAGTTATGAGGGCAAAAATGTCCCTGTATAGGTTTCTGTTTTTCATATTTATAAGATATCATATAATTTAGTGATAGCACAACAAGCAAGAATGCCGGTTTCCCGAATATCAGCATGTGAGAATGATTGTGAATTGTGAATTTGTAATTTTAGACACAATATTCTCTTTTTTTTTCTGTTTCGCCAACGAAAATAGTTCCACATAAAGCCGGAGTAGAACTGTTGTGTGTCTCAGAGCAACATTCATATAGACCGATTTGGAGTAGAAGTTACAGTTACGTCACTTGCAGCTGCGCACGCATTGTGGTGGCAGAAAAACACTGATAACAAGTGGAGGGAAATGAGTAGAATCCATGGAATAGGATTAAAAATTTACTATTGTGCCTCAAAATCAGAATGCAAATCATTTTTATAGAATACTGTCGTCAAAGACGCCATTTTAAACTAAACGCAGATGTGGACAGACTATGGATGAAACCTGCTCATTATCCTACTTTTAAAGCATAAATTTGATTTAAACAATATGTTTACATAATATTCACATATGCAGTATTGTATTAGCCCTACAGTTACAGCATTAAATACTATTTAAACCTATATAACATTTACCTATTTTATCTCACAATTCTGATTATTTTTCTCACAAATGCAAGTTTATATCTCCTAGTTTGGACTTTATAACTCGATTTAACTCAACAATTGCGAGTTCGTCAATTCTGAGGAAAAAAAAGCCAGAAGTATGGGATATAAACTGAGCCGAGGGGAAAAGAGAGTATGACGAGTTGATTTTTCTTATCAGAACCGTGAGATATAATCTCGGAATTGTGAGAAAAAAGTCAGAATTTTGAAATATAAACTCAAAATTACCTTTTTTATTCTTTTATTCCATGGCTTCCATAGACTGCTACAATAAAACTGTAATTTTTTGCCACCAGATAGGCCCCGCCCACAAAAAAACCTTGCAAACACCTAAATAGGTCTATAGACAGTCACTTGCTTTGTTTCTAAATGAATCAGTAATTTTGAACAAATCATTTGTGATTCAATGAATCACTCATTAAGACATGCACTTGTCGCCACCTACTGGCGGTATTAGTGCCATATCATGACAGGCTTAACAGCCCTCTACGAACACCTTGGCAATTGAATCGCCATTGGCTAGTATATTTTTTTGTTTACTCGCCAGACTGATAAATATATACATAAACGTCCACACTGCTTTTACATTAAAAATAAGATGGATCATCAGATCAACTCACAAAACTTGCACATGAAATGCACATTTTCTGTTGAACTAAGCCATATTCAGAGGAACTGATGTACTAAGATTGGCTAATATTAGACATCATTTAGTCGCCAGAGTGAAGATTTAGTCGCATATGCGAGTGATTTACTCGCAATGTAGAGGGTTGCTTAAACTACACTGTAAAAAATTGCTGTAAAAAAACGGCAAAAATCTGACAGTAACGTATTGTTTTCCATTAAAACAGTAATGTGCTGTAGAAAACAATGCATTCTGGGCAATATTTTGCCATTTAAGAAATTGCTGTTAATTTACAGCCAATTTTAACAGTACTCTACTGTATTTAAGTAATACGGTTTTTTACTGTTTGCAATGCATTGTGGGCTGTGTTAAATACAGTACAATGCAGTATTTTTTTTTTATTGGGTGTACAAGTGCAAGTACAAGTTTGGTCAAAGTGAGTTACTCTTTTGTCAGTTAATTTGCGATTTTCAAGCATCCAAAATCATTTTCAGTCAGGTACTTGGGATGACAATTTTTTACAAACATAATTTGAAAAGCACTTTTTTCCCGAAGAGGACACAAGTTCGAAGGACATCTGCTATACATCGCCATTTGCCATCCGAAGTCCTTCAACTGCATTGAAGGGGAAAACAGTTGCTTGCCCTTATAGACATTGTGACAAGAGCTTTCGTGTTTTATCCTCGTTCACATCTCACGTGAGTAGGACACATAAAGATGGTGCTGATGAACGTCTGGTTGATTCAGTAGTGAATCCCGGCATGTCCCATGAGAGCGAACAAGAGCAGTCTGACTTGCAGATTGACCCTCCCAGTGATGCAGATTATGAGCCATCAGATGTATTTGCAGAAACTGCTGATGAATCCCTATTCTTGAAAAATTTAGCCGTTTTATTTGAAATTGCAAGCAAAGTTATTGCTTCCATCCTCCGTCATTCAAACAATTATCGAAGATATTCAGGAAATACATGACATAAGCCAGTCACATTTGCTTTTCAAACTGAAAGAGAAGCTGGTTACACTTGGGGTTTCAGAAGCTGACACAAGCAATGTGATCAGTGTCCTGAAAACTGAGGATCTCTTTAGGTCCTGCAACACTCAGTCATTGCAAACTGACCAGAGAAGAAAAACTGTTTTCAAGAATAACTTCAATTATGTTGAGCCAGTTCAGATCTGTCTTGGTCAGAATGAGGCAGGCAAAGAGTGTTTCGCTCAGTATATTCCCATTAAACAAACACTCCAATCTCTTTTTCATTGTGAGTCAGTGTGGGAACAATATAAACAAGTACACTCAAGTATTCTAAGGATATACTTCGAGATGTGTGGGATGGCAGAAATACTGCAGAGAATGTGTTATTTCAGACAGAGAGCTCATCATTGAGCTTAATCCTATATCAGGATGCATTTGAAGTGGTCAATCCACTGGGATCTGGGAAGAAAAAACACAAGATACTTGCAGTGTATCTCACTCTTGCAGATTTAATGCCACATAATAGATCAAGCACTGAACACATGCAGCTTGTTCTTCTATGTAGAGAACAAGACTTAAAGTATTTTGGTCAGGACTTGGTTATGGGCTCCATGGTCAAAGACCTTAAAGATCTTGAGCTCAATGGCGTTACCCTGTCGGATGGAAACATCTATAAGGGAACTTTGTGTGCCATGGCAGGGGACAACCTAGGCTCACATAACATAGGAGGCTTTGTTGAGAATTTTAGCAAGAGTTCACACTTCTGCAGATATTGTGAGATCGCCAGAGATGAATTCAATGCAGATCCTCTTATTCGAGGAAATGAACGTACAAAACAGTCATACAGTGATCATGTTCAGACCTGTGATGGACAGTCTTCATCCAGTGGAGGTGTTAAATTCGACTCTTTATTTAATACACTCACATACTTCCATGTATGTCAGCCAGGGTTACCTCCTTGTCTTGGCCATGATCTTTTTGAGGGTATTGTATCCTCTGATCTGGCATTGTACATTAGCCATTTTGTTAAGGTGGATAAACAGTTCAGCTATCTCTTGTTGAATCGGCGAATAAATCAGTTCAAGTATCTTGGTAAGGATGCTAATGACAAACCCTGTGAGGTCAGTCCAGAGGGTGGAAAACTTGGAGGGCATGCTGTGCAAAATTGGTGTTTGCTCAGAATGTTGCCTGTCTTGATTGGAGTCAAAATAGAAAATCCAAGTGACAATGAAATATGGCAGTTGGTATTACAACTTAGAGAAATTGTGGAGCTCATTTGTGCACCAGCCATTTCAACTGGTCAGATAGCCTACCTATGAGGTATTATCGATGAATATTTGCATTGCCGAAAGCAAGCCTTTCCTAATCACCCACTGAAGCCCAAACATCATTATGTCAGTCATTACCCAGAGCTCATTGTCTAGTTTGGGCCACTTATTCGTCTATGGTTCAGCTGCTCATGGCACATTTTGGAGAGAAACTAACAGGGCTGGTCCTTTTTACAGATGTAAGTTTATGTTTTCTTTCTTCCCTGTCTTTCAAATTCTGAATGCCGTGTCTATTTATTCACAGCAGGTTTTCTGATAATTGCCCGTTTTGTTTATTTTGCTCTTTAAAAGGTTAGTTCACCCAAAAATAAAATGTCTGTCATTAATTACTCACCCTCATGTCGTTCCAAACCCGTAAGACGTCCATTTATCTTCGCAACACAAATTCAGATATTTTTGATTAAATCCGAGAGGTATCTGAACCACACATAGGCAGCAATGTCATTGCACTTTTCAAGGCCCAGAAAGTTAGTAAAGACATTGTTAAAATAGTCCACGTGATTGCAGTGGTTCAACTTTAATGTTATGATAATGTTAATTATAATAATGTTAATCATTAATAATGAGCCAACGTTCTGACGTAGAACCTGGAAGCGCTGAACTGTGTTTACAACATTAACAGTATAGGAGACTGACAGGGAAGAGAAGAGATTTTTGAATAAACTCGTTATTTTTGTTTTGTTTTTGCGAACAAAAAGTATTCTTGTCGCTTCATAACATTAAAGTTGAACCACTGCAATCACGTGGACTATTTTAACAATGTCTTTACTAACTTTCTGGGCCTTGAAAAGTGCAATGACATTGCTGCCTATGTGTGGTTCAGATACCTCTTGGATTTAATCAAAATATCTTAATTTGTGTTCTGAAGATGAACGAAGGTCTTACGTGTGTGGAACGACATGAGGGTGAGTAATTAATAACTGGAATTTTATTTTTGGGTAAACTAACCCTTTAAAAACATCTTTTAAAATGTCTGTTCCCTACAGGTGTGTGCCACTGCAGCTGACGTTGAGACAACCCTGACTGTACCTGCAAGTCCTCGCCTGATTCTACTTGGTATACATTTCATTGATAGACATATTGCATTGCTATTTTTCTTTGAATGTACAGATGTTTATGCAAGGTGAGATGCATGTTGCTATTACTTGAAGTTTCAGGTGGAACAGGGCAAGTCACTATTGGGCGCTGGATGATCACGCTTGAGGGTCGTGTCATATCTGAAGGCATCACACCAACCTTTTTGACGGGACTTGCTGCTGTATTTGCAATCTACTATATGCTTAACCTCCAATATCAAGAAGAAGCAGCCTGTACTCTGGAATTCATTCAGAGGTGAGACTGCTTAAATTTCCTTGTCATCATTATAGCTTTTCTTGAGTTATAATTGTTGAAACCTGAACCACCAGAAACCATTACTTTGCCTAAAGGGATAGTTTGCATTTATTCCAAGATGGTATTTCCTACTTCTGAGTAAATACCTGTGAGTACTACCATCTCATGTTAAAAACCATCTTATGTTGCTTATTGTGGCTTGCAAAGTTTTTGTTACCTGACCCCATGTTCCGCTATTTTTTGCACAACATTTAACCAGCTGACTAGGAAATTTCTGATCACAGGCCTGCCTTAGTTAATGTCAGGCTTGTGATCAAAAATCTCCCATCCAGCTAGGTAATTGCTGGGCAAAAATTAGTAGCAGAACATGGGGTCAGATAACAAAAACGTTGCAAGCCACAACACAACAAAAACATTCAAAGAACAATACAAATGAAATACATGAGCTGCTTGATGCCTTTGTCTGATCTCACTGCATCTTGATTTTTTTTTTTTGATTATGCTAGATTATTACTGCAGTGGAGCTGATTTTCAAATCACACTGCATATAAGCTTGAATAGAGGCATAATACGTGAACTGTCTCCTGTGCATAGTAATACACTTGTAATTTTTAACAAGTAAATTACCTCCAAGATATAAAAAAACAGGCAGCAAAATTTGACAAAAGACCTCATGATGTCAGTACTAGTTACATAACATAATGTGCAAAACCCAAACTACCCTTTTAAGTTTACAAGGTGTTCCTTATAGTTTTTCATTCAGTCTCTGACAATTGTAATTTCAGGCGCTTCATTGGCATCAATCCCGAAAAAGGCACAAAGACCACCCAGGGAAAGGTTACCTCGAAGAGGACAGGGGCGATTGTCCAGAAAAAATTCTCCACAGTGAATGCACATGTCTCCACACTATTGAAGAACCTAATCGACTTTCAGTGGGACTTCATATAGGTCAGTGAGCTCTCCTCTTGTTTCTGTCTGTGCTGTTTTGACAGACTGATGTTGCCACATTAAACCACAAAGTTAATTTAAAAAAGTAAAAGTGTGTCCTTTAAAAAATGTTGCAGGAGTGTAAAGGAATGAAAATCTAAAAAATGAAATGCTATCAAATCAAATAGACCAACCACAGTTGATTCCATTGTAGCTGAACATTTGTCCGGGTGTTAGTTATTCAGTTTCATTACCATCTATACAAAAGGTAACATCTTAGGAATAATTTTGTGCTGTAATATAAACATGGACCATTCAGTGAATCTGAACAGAAAAAAAAATAGTTGTTATGGAAGTAGCAGTGTTATGGATAAATGAGTTGATTTGAGACATGCAGGAAGCGTTTTGTTAGTCAACACTAGCAGCCATCTCCTTGTTATCTGGGTTGTACTCTACACTGACAATTCTAGAGTTAGTTTGATAAAATACTTTGTTTTCTGATGTTTTACAGAGGTACCAGTTGGAATACCTTCCAGTTGGAATAGGAGACAACATGCAGCCAGGTCGTTATGGTTAAGTGGGTGTAAAATTGCAAAGTCATTCACCTAGGACTAGGACTCTTTTAAAAGGTACACATGCCTCCTCACTGGAACGTTTAAAAAAAGTGTGGAAACAACACTGAACAAATGTTTTTACACTAAAATGTTTTTCACTAAA